TGAGTGAGACCTCAATTCACCAAATACGCATTAAGCATTTTAGGGTTAGATTTGGAGTTGGATCATTGTGTCAGATACTGGGGATACACAGATGGATATGATATAGTCCCTGCTGTCAGGGAGCTTCATTAAGTACCTACTATAATTTATTAAATACCTACTGTGCACCAGTCACTCTGTTAGTTGATGGGAAAAGTTAGATTCAGTCTCTGTCCTCAAAGGCTCATGATCTGTTGGTGGGGTGCTGCAGGTTCAGAAATGAGTACATACTGGAGACGCACTGTGCTATCAGAGGCGGCGGGCGGGGCTGTAGTGGATAGACTGCTGGCCTTGAAGTCAGGAAATCCTGAGTTCAAGGTCAGCCTTTGACACTTACTGGGTGAATCAGTTTTGTTCAGTTATTTTTCAGTCACGGCCAATTCTTTGTGACCCCATTTGGAGTTTTCTGGGTCAAGATCCTGGATTGTTTACCATTTCCTTCTTCAGCTCATTGACAGAGGAGGAAACTGAGGAATGCAGGGTTAAGTGACTTGCCCAAGATCACACAGGTAATAAGTGTCTGAAGCCAGATTTGAGCTTAGGAAGATGAGTCTACCTGATTACAAGCCCACCATTCTATCCACTGTGTCACCTAGTTGCCCTGCTGGGTGAGTGGCCCTGGTAAATCAGTTAGCCTTTTAGTGACTTAGTTACAGGGTAATTTTCAGGTTTCATTGGTGAAGGGAGTTTTTTCACATGGAGGTCTCTACACTGAAGAAGTAAGTCCAGACATGTATGTTTATCTGTATAATTGTATAGGTATAATGATGCACATTATTATATCATTAATCATATGTTTGGTTATATATTAATTATATAGGCACAATGATGCACATTATTATATAATTAATTATATATTTGATTTTATATTAATTTTACATAGCGTAAATAATAGGTACAATTAATATAACATAATTATAGGAACAGTATATAGATTATGTTATATATTGTCATATTGTATTAAAATATAATTATAAAATATATGTATGTCTGGACTAATACACAGACACAGTGAGGGGAGGGTCATGAAGAGGGACACTGACATCTGGGAGATGAATGCAGAGGTCTAAAATGAGGCAAAATGCTCTGAGAGCATTGAGGGAGGCATTCACCTAGAGGGAGAATTATCAAAGGCTCTGGCAAAGGAGTGCCACCTGATTTGACCATTGAGGAAACTCCTAGGGGAGGACCTGTTCCAGGAGCCATATTGGAGAGAGCCTTGAATGACAGCAATAGGAATTGATACATTATTCAGTAGGCCCTAGAGAGATATTAAAGGTTTTTCGATAAAGAATTGACTTGATTAGAGCAGTAAATTAGAAAGATTCCTCTGAGAGCTGGTATGATGGATGGTTTGGAGGCAGGAAGATGAGCTAGGAGGCTTTTATTGTCATTTTGGTTGAAGAGATGAGTGCCTGAATTGGGGTGGGGGCAGTGGGAGTGGAAAGAGGGATCACAGTCAGTTAACAAGCATTTATTAAGCATTTTCTATAGTGCTGGAGGGCTGATATGGTCAGACTATCTTAGAATAGAGAGAGATTTGGCCCAGGAGACCAATTGGGAGGATATTGCTGTAGACTGGGCAAGAGGTGATGAAGACCTGAACTAGGGTGGTAACTATGAATGTAGAGAAAGGATGTTTGGCCACTGATTGGTTATGTGCTGTGAATAAGGGCGAGGAGTCTGAGGCTGACGCTGAAATTGGGATCAGGATCACTTAGGAGGATGGTGGTTGCCTCAACAGTAATGCAGAAGTTTGGTGGAGGGTTAGATATTTTTTGGGAAAATACTTGGGCTTATTTAGTTTGAGAAGCCTTTGTGACATCCAGGCAAAGACAGCTAACAGGCAACTGGTGTTATAGGATATCAACTCTGGAGAGAATTGAGGACTGAATATTTAGATTGATCTTATCAGAATAGAGATTATGGTTGAATCTGTGGGAGCTGATTAGATTATTGGGGGGAGGGTGGGGAAGAGAGAAAGAGGAAGGGAGGCAGAGAAAGAGCAGAGGAGTGCATAAGTCAGTGTCCACATTCAGAACATAGTTCTGGGATGGGTAGGATTCCTGCCTCTGTCCTCAGTCAAGTAGGAGGTGAACCCCGAGAGAGCAGTGTCAGGAAAATCCAGGGAACAGAGTTTATCTATCTAGAAAGAGGGATTGGTCACTAATGTTTCAGAGAAGTCAAAAGAGAGAGAGAGAATATGGCATGGTGTTTAAAGGGCTAGACCTAGGGGTAAAAGGGTTGGGTTCAGATCCCACCTTTGGCATTTATCAATATGGGCAAATCATTTTGTCTCTCTGAGCCTCATTTTTCCTCTGCCTATAAAAGTCTTAGTACCTATGGTATCCACCTCTAAGTGTTGTGAGGCTGTTAGTAGTATATAACATATGTAGGATGTTTTGTAAACTATATGTGTGTGTGTGTGTGTACACACATATGTATTTAAAAAATTATAATGGACTAGAAGAGGCAGTGTTACCTAGAGGCCCAGATTGTTAGCCAGGAAGACATGGTTTCAAATCCTGCCCCAGATACATACAGACTGTTTGACCCTAGGCAGGTTACTTATCCTCTCAGTGTTCGAGGTAATTCTCTAGGACTCTGGTGTCAACCTGCACTGGGAAAGGTAGTTTCCTTATCTAAAAGTTCCCCATACCAAAGAAAGTTATAGGTTGGATCCTTAACCTATGAACTAGAAAATCATCAAACATTAAAATTTCAGTATATAAAGAAGGCCAGAAAATGAGGATTATATATATGGAACTTTGACTATTACACACAGCTATTTGACCATTATATACATACATGTATGTGTGGGTGTGTGTTATTGTTGTTCAGTTGTGTCCAACTCTTTGTGACCCCATGGACCATAGTATGCCAGTGCTGTCCATGGGGTTTTCTTGGCAGGGGTACTGGAATGGTTTCCAATTTCCTTCTCCAGTGGATTAAGGCAAACAGGTTAAGTGACTTGCCCAGGGTTACTTACACAACTGGTAAGTGTCCGAGGCCAGATTTGAGCTGGAGAGGATGAGTCTTCCTGACTACAGGCCCAGCACTGTGCACTATGGCACCCCCTAGCTGCTGCTGCTGCCGCTGCTCTGTGTGCTTGTATGTAAAACCCAAACTCATTGTGGTAGTACAACATTGCCTGCTAGTCTTGTGATCCCTTCTGAACGTAATTCTCTTCTCTTCTGTGTTTTAGATGTTTCATTGATGTTCTTTTCTCTCTTTGCTTTATTTTGGCATCTGCCTTGGCCTCTAGTCCATTACTCCTCAGTACTCTTCTAGCCTCTCCATTGTCCCATCTGTCTTTCCTTTCTTCCCCTCCCAACCCGTCCCCAACCACTAGCCATTTCAGTGTTACACTGCCCTGTACTTTTGAGGCCCTTGTCCACTTGTTGGTTGCCACCAAGCCTTGCCATACTCCACTCTGTATTCATACTCTGTCGTCTTTCTCTTTTGATTTCACTTGTGTGCTATTCAGAGGAAGTCATGTGACTGGGGTTACTACACATTTTTGTTATTTCATCTCAACTGGGCCTCCTTATATCAAGGTCTTCGTTTTCCTCCCCCCAATTGCATCTCTTTTGTATACATCCCAAATAACTCCTCCACAACCGAAACTGTTTGACGCCTTTTCTCACCCCACCCCCCCAATAGTATGACTTCTGACTTCAGTCAAAAGGAAAAAAAAAACCCCAAGCCAAAAAACTGGATTTCTCCAAAATTAGCGATCTCAAGCATCACTTCTGTTGACACCTCTTCAGCATTCAGCACTGTTGATAGTCCTCTTCTCCTAGATATTCTCTCTTCTCTGGGTTTTCTGGACACCTGTCTTTCTTGGTGTCCCTTCTACCAGTCTGCCTATTACTTCTCTTCATCATCTGTATCAACCCCCCTCTCAGACCCCAGGCTCCTTCCTGAATCTCTTTTCTCTACACTCTCTGTGATCTCATCCATTTCCAATGGTCATCCCTATGTAGATGACTGCAAAATGTATATGTATGTATGTATGTATATTTATACACATACATATATACGCATAAGTATATTTATATGTATACTGTATATCTATCTATGTATATCTGTCTCCTGAACTCTAGGACTACGTCACTTACAGACCTCAGGATCTCAAACTTAACATATACAAAAGAACTCATAATTTTCCCTCTAAACCCACTCTTCTTTTTTTGAAGTGTTTTTTTTTGGGGGGGGGAGGGTTAAGTGACTTGCCCAGGATTACACAAGCTAGTAAGTGTCAAGTGCTTGGTCTGAGGCTGGATTTGAACTCAGGTCCTGCTGACTTCAGGGCCGGTGCTCTATCCACCAAACCCACTCTTCTTCCAAACTTCTTTTCCACTATTGAAGATACTATCCTCCTTCCTCCACCACCCTCCATACCCTTCCCATTCACAACCTTAAAGCCATTCTTGACTTCTCACTCTCCCTTAAGGCACATATTCCATTACTTGCCCAGTCTTGTCTGTTCCACCTCCAATGTATCTCTGGCAGTTGACCCCCTCTCCCTACCTAACACAGCCACCACTCTAGTTCATTCTTTCATCTCCTCTCACCTGGATAATTGCAATAGCTTCAGTCAGTAAGCATTTATTCTGCCCCTACTGTATGCTAGGAATTATACTAAGTGGAAGGGATACAAAGAAGGGTAAAAGTTGAGTCCCTTCCCTCAAGGAGATCACATTCCAATGGTGGATAGAACTCACCAACAAATGTGTATAAATGATATATATATATATATATATATATATATATATATATATATATATATATATATATATATATATAGTGTGAATGGAAGGTAATATCAGAGAGAAGGATGAGTTTCAGAGGGAGCCAGAGAAGCCATAATGATTGTTTTTCTACTTCTTCAAAAACACATGGTCTGAGAACTGTTTTTTAAATGCATAGAGTTATGCAATTTTTTTTCTCTGTTGCAGGATGCCAGAGCAAAAGAAGAAAAGGTCTGAAATGTCAGAGAAAAAGAAAAGGAAATTAAAGAAGCTGGTGGCAGAAGAGGAGCCCCTTGCACAGGAGAAGCCCCAGAAGAAGAAGAAACTGAGTGCCAAGGTATGAGGGGAGGACATTGCACATTGTGTGTGCAGCTTGGTTGGTCCTGCTGTTTATTCTTCCTGATTCTGCACCAGATCTGGTTGGCTTTATTCTCCATTCCATATACTCAGGGACTGACAAAAAAGTGAATTTGTTCAAAGCCAAAGGACAGGAAAATCAGAACTTTAGTGAATGCTTATAACTCACAACACTGATATATACTTCTTCAACCTGTGGAAACTTATTGCGTGTCCTGCTGCTGTAATACCTCTGTGACCGTAACCAGAGCAGGGAGGAAACAGGGATGAGTTTTGTGATCTCAGAAGGATTCTTGTGGCAAAGGTTTGCATGCGTAGCTGGGGCAGTAGCACGAGGATTGTTGTGACAAGATGAAGTCAAGGCTGCTTCCTAGAAGGTTCTTCAACACTTCACCAATGGATGATTTGTAGTCACTACCACCAAGGGAGTGGAGAGGGTTGGTTTTTTTTTTCCCCTCCAAAATTGGTGCTCTTGGGATCAATTGGGTTTAGGACTGGAAGGGACTTTAGAAATCATATAGTTTCTTCTTTAGTACCCACCTTCTCCAATATCTGTCACATCAAATGTTTTATTGGCTAGTTTGAATGAAGAAGTAATTTATTCCCGGCATATGTAAATCCTTCAAATAATGTTCAAATAATGACCAGATTAGAGAGTCAATGTGACACAACAGGAAGAGGATTGGAATAGGAGTGGGAAAACCAAGAATCTAGTCTATTATTAAGTATCGGTGTGATCTTAAATGAGTGGCGTCCCCTCTCAGTACCTCATTCATGTGTAAAATGAGGAGCCTGGACTGTGTCTGTGGTGCCCAAATAGAAAGGAATCTTTGGAGGTGGGGTGGGGGCACAGAGGTGGAGGAGGGGAGCTCTTTGACTTATAAAACCAGAAATTATCATTATCTGTGTTCTATTGTATTTTTATTTATTTTGTTAAACATTTCCCAATTACATTTTAATCTGATTAGGGTCCTCTTGACACTTCTCTTTTAGCTCTGTGTTCTTTGAGACTCTTCTGAGCTAGCCATAATTTGCAAAATCAAGTCTCTTAATTTGGGCTGTTGTTCTGGGTTTCATTTCTAGTTGGCTTCCTCATCTGCCCCCTTGGTAGCAGGTTGAAACTGTTCACTCTGGAGCCACCCAAAGCCCAGGAATTGAATGTTTCTATTTTTACACTGGATTCCTTCTAGGAAGATTTTCTTCTCTGGTTCCTCTCCCCACCCCTTTTCATTTATTTATTTATTTTTATTTTATTACACTGCTTTTGTATCTTAAAATCCAGTGATTTAAAAGCACAAATGGCTTCCCTTTTAAATCCTGTGTACTTAACATCTTATTTTTTCTTTTCAGATCTACAATCTCCCACTTCCCTCCCCCTCACATCCCCCAAATCGAAAGTAAGATCAATTAAATCCCTCTTACAAATATATATAGTTAAGCAAAAACAAATTCCCACACTGGCTGGGTGAAAAAGAAAAAAAGTTTCCATGTGTACTCTGAGTCCCATCACCTCTCTATTAGGAAGTAGGGAGCATCTCATGCTATTCCCAGTTACCATTCACTGAAGCCAGTTATACTGTTCATGTCAAAGTGTGATCTGGTTTCTTTAAACTAGTTTTCTTTAAAGATGTCAGAAAACTCAAGTTCGAATGGTTCTGCCATGACATACCTGTGTAACTTTGGGCAGTTTACTCTTTAACCTATAAAATGCAATAGTTAGATTAAGTGATCAATCTCTCAGTTTCCTTATAGCTCTAAAGCTATGATTCTATGACCCTTTGTCTACCTCACTTGCTCCTCCATGAAATTTTTGCCTTTCATTTAAGAGGAAAGGTCTGTCCTTTCATCATTAGTCTCCTTTTCCTACCCTTGCTGGCAGGCTTGCCATTTAGGTATCCTGACAAATAATTCTTGCTGGGTGAAAAACATCATATTTTCAACTCATGTTTATTTTATGATTACTTCCGCCCAATCCAGTGACCATTACTCTTAAATCTACTTACTTGTTACTAATTTTTTTAGGGGGGTAGAGAAGGGATGGTAATAGTTGTAGTGACATTTGGTATCAGCCTGCCTCAGTCCAAGAATATGATTGTAGCTGCTATCCTATATCAAGGGAGACATAACCTTTAAAGATGATTTGGGGAAATAGAACCAGGAACATAGATGCAGTGAGGATATGGTTTGATTTAGTATATTCACATGGAGACCATGAGGGAGTGCATTTGGACTAATTTCAGTATCATGAAGAAGGAAAAGAAAGTTTGTTTCCTGCAGCCTGTGGAAATGCCAACTGACCAGAAGGTGTCAGCAACTACTTTCAATCAGAACTGATACTAAATTCTGTTTCCTTTAAGGTGCTCTTTCCCTGAGGGCAAATATGCCAGTTCTTGGATGAATTTTCTTGTTGATTTTCATTTGGGTAAGGTGATATGACCTAGGAGTAGGGTCTGTGGTCTTGAAGTTTTTTGTTTTTAGTTAGTTAGTTTTTTTTTTTAAGGACTGAAAACCATCCTTAAGCAAAATGGAGGTGAGATTCTGCCTTAGGAAATGGAATTAGGCTTTATTTAGAGGGAGATCAGTTCTTATTATCATTTCTGGTTCTCTGGGGAAGTTGTTAAAAAAAAGCAGATTTCTCTATTAAAATTGTTGTTGTTTAAGAAAAAAATCATAAAGTAAGCTCAAGTATTTATGAAGGGGATCAGATTTAAGAGGTCTGGAAAACAGTATTCCCTGTCCACCAGATAGGAATGATGTGGAAAATTACTGCAGTGAACTCAGCTCTTTGTGAGCTTAGGTCTGTGATTCATCGATCCCCCAACGTCTTCTTGAAGAACCTTCTAAGCCCAGAGTGGACAACGGAGAAGATACTGTCACTTCCCATTGGTCATTATGTTGCCTTCCCAGAAATTTAATCATGTAGAAGACTCATCAGGTCAGCCAGTCCATTCCCTGGGCGCTCATACAGAATTCCTTCCCACAGAATGTAACTCAGAATGTTTGGTCTAGGATTGTTCAAGTGTATCAAGTGATAAAATTTTCTTCCTTTTTCTCTGGGCACTTTGATAGAGTTAGAGTTCACACTTTAAGAATGTCACCTTCATTTCCCTTTGGCTTATGGTTTTGTAAATTTTTTTTTTAATTTTGGAGACTGCTGGCTTCTACCTTTTTATTGTGCACAGCTTTGTATATGATTCCTCATTCTTTATGGGTTTCTCTTTATGAAACTCCATCAGTCTTCCTTTCTCACCTCTCCCGGTTCACTTATCAGCTCTCTATTCAGTTATCGCTGTATTAACTTCAGGCCGAAAGCACAGGGGCTGGTGATTGGTGGTGGTGGTGGTGGTGGTGGGATGGAAAGAAGGAATGAGGCAGAAGACAGTACTTTCCTGACATCCCCAAGATAAGAAGAGATTTCCAAACAATGATTTCCAGATAGCCAGACACGTCTGAACTATACCTTCAAACTTCTGGGTCACTTATTTCACAAAGTCTTCATTAGAATGTAAGAACACTTTTTCACTCTGTATTCTGACAGACTTGAGGTCTTTTAGGGGGTAACATTAGGAATCTTGGAGCTTTATTCCCTTAAGACGTTCAGCCTGCCCTCTTTATAGCCACATTTTTGGAGGAATAAAAGATTTTGTTTTTTGTTTTTTAGTAGACTAGCAAAACTAAGGCTAGAAGATCCTTGCCATTTGCTTTAACTCAAAGTATCTATTTTAAAAAGGTTTTATTACTATCTTTTGTCTTTGGCAGGAAAACTTGAGTTCAAGTTTTACCTTAGCCTCTAACTAGCTATGTGATCCTGGGCAATTCACTTAACCTCTCTCAGCCTTAGTTTCTTTATTTGCAAAATGGGGATAATAATAGCAGCTGATTCACCAGGTTATTGTGAAGAACAGGTGAGATATCGTATGTAAAGTGCTTTCCAGACTTTAAAGCAATATATGAATGATAGCGATTATTATTATTCTTGCATCATTTCTGGGGCCCCCTCATCTCTTTTCCTGCCCCTCCCCCAATACTGACTACACCTTCATAACAAAGAAGAATAATAAGCAAAACCAGCTGACACACTGACTACATCTAATGACAGACTGCAGTTGTTGCCTTCACCTTCTTTCCTCCCTTGAAGGCTTCTAGCCTTATCATTTGAGTGAAATTATGTCCTAACTTATCAGTGACCTCTTATTTGTCAAATCTGATGACATTTCCTCAGTCTTCATTTTTTCCTGACTTTTCTGGAGCATTTAATACTGTGAACCACCCTCTCTTCCTACGTAATCTCTCCAGAGATTTGTGACACTGTCCTCTTTGGGTTAGCCTCCCACCGGTCTGACCACTTCTTCTCAGTCTCTTTGCCGACTCATCTTCCATGTTATGCCCCCTAATAGTTGGTGTTCTACAAGGCTCCTTCCTTCTCTCTGAACACTGTCAGTGACCTTACCAAGTCCAGTTTAATTATCATACATCTGTGCAGATGCCTCCCAAATCTGTATCTCCAGCCATTATGTCCTTCCTGAGTTCTAGTCCTGCACTGTGACCTGTCAATTGGAAATTTCCAACTAAATTATTCAACCCAACATTATTCAACCCAAACCCCTCCTTCTTCTGAAGTTCCCTATTTCTGTTGAGGTCACCTCCATCTTTACAGTCACCTGGGTTCTAAACTTTGTCATCCTTTTTTCCTCGCTCTTACCCTAAATAACCAAAAAGTTGCCAGATAATTCTACCACCACAATATCTCTCATGTTCGCCATTCATACACTCTGGGTCAAGGCTTCATCATCTATGGTCTGGACTAATACAATAGCCTACATCTTAGCCTCATTACTTCAAATCTTTCCTATTCTAATCCATCCTCCATGCAGCTGCCAAAGTGGTTTTCCTTATGTACAAGTCTGACTATGTCACTTTTCTACTCAGGAAATAGCAGTGGCTCCTTATTACCTCTGTTTGGCTTTTAAAGCCCCTTAA